ACAATGTTTACTGAGGTAATAAATCAAGAGAGAAGTAGAGTCATTTTGACTACGTCCACTTCTTAACTACAGTCTATCAGACGTCACCTTTGTTTTAATTGGTTATTTGTTTGGTTTATTCAAAATCACAAAACACATTTTACTGTAAAAGGCCAGTTTTTGTCCAAAACTCAAAGATGTTTACTTTACAATGTTAAAAGCATTAAATCCTCATATTTCAGTAGCTGTAAGCAGTAAATGTTTGGCCTTTCTGCTTGAAAAATTACTTAAATAATTAATAAATGATCAAAATATTAAAGTCACGGTTTTACGGTGATGAGGAAACGGACGGATCTTTTATTCTCGTCGCGGCAAAGTGGCATTCACAAAGAACCTCCGACTCTCCACGTTTCCTTTGTCCGTGCAGCAAACATCCATAACGCTGAGCTCTCCGTCTGCAGAGCGCTGGCTACACATCACACATCAACACTCACGGAGGCGTGTAGCCGTACGGAGGTTTGTCGTAGTTGGTGCTCTCGTCGTCCAGGTGACTCCTGGAGCTCCTCAGCTTCTCGGGGAAGTCCGACATCGGGAGCACTTCAGGGCCAACGGACACGTTGTTCACCTTTGGGAGAAAGAAAACATATTAGCACCATCATATTACACAAATACACGACCATTTTATTCATCAAATATTCATTTCAATACTTTTTGAAGCAGAAATGCAGAATATTTGAACGTTCCAGCGACTGGAATGTGAGGATTTGATGCTTCTCTTTGTAATATGATACTAAAATATACATTTCTGGGGATTTTTTTGACAAAACAAGACATTTGAAAACTTTAACTTGCACTATAGAACATTTTAAACTATGAAATAACAGCATTTTACAATTATATAGTATTTAACACAACATGTAATTACTGCATTAACACAAAACTAAGAGTAAACAATAATGATCCTGTTTCAATAAATGCTGATCTAAGAAAGAAAAACTATATTAATTGTATAACATGCAAGAAAAAAAATACAAATTCTCTTTTTCTTCCTGCTCGGTTTATTTGATCATCTACCGTCTTTGTTTTATTGTCTCTACTGTTTGAATGTGTTGCACATTGTTTTTGTAAAGCACTTTGAGCTTCATCTCTCGCATGAAAAAGACTCGACAAATAAAGATATATTATTCCATATATTGGAACATGCTGTGTAGTTATTCTTAACAGAAGACTCGATAACGTCCTTAAAGCTTCCTGTGAAGCAGTGAAAGGTTTATAAATGCTCGTTCACTTTGACACGGTCGATGTTCCTCTGGTTATAAAACACAGAATCCAGTAAGATTTGAAACGACCTCCATCAGAACTCTTCCCAGAACAATGAAACAACGGTCCTCTGGAATCTGCACATTTTGTTCACTTGTGCTTTTGTTAGAATCAATTTAATTCCACCGCTGTCACATACATCTGCATGATTTCTAATATCTGCTGCACTACTTTCTACAAAACAAAAGCTGCACTCAAACAATCTGCAGCATAAACTAAACTGTTCATCTGTCGGCAGTTTACCTCCAACTGCTGGAACTGAACCAGCTCTGCAATGATGAAACCTGCAGAGACTCGTCCCGCTTCACCTCCACAACAACATGTGGGAGCTGCAGGTCGCTGCAGTGTCGCCGCCTCAGCACTTTCAGACGATTTCCCATGAGCTGCAGGTTCCCAGTGTCATGTTACGTGTGTGTGTGTGTGTGTGTGTGTCTGCTAACTGGTGGGCCTTTGTTTCAGAGCACCGGTCCGACCTGTTCTTCCTCTTCACTGCAGCAGAATGTCATCGTGACTTCTTAACTCTGATCAGACTGACCCACCTACTCGTCCCTTCATAACTATGATTCACTGTAGAAGGTAAATATTCAAATGTTCGACAGTAATAAAGTTTTTTTTAATTTTTTTATTGTCAGCGTGAGACTGAAACTGTCGTCTGTGTAAACGCCACACCTTGAAACCATCAACTCTTCCCCTCCCCCGCTCATCACCAGGTGACTGCCACCAAACAGGTTGAACCACTTCTGCTGATACAAAACACCCAAACTACTGCTTCTTCATGCAAGACTCGTGAGCTGAGATCACCTCCTATGAGGACGTGATAGCTTCTTTTAATCTATTTCTAGGGCAGCGAGTGACGAAATCATTCTTAAATAAACTGATCGATCAGTTGATTTAATCTACAGATCGGTAAAAGTGAGTTTCTCCACAAAGAATCACAGAAAAGCACAACTTTAACTCTAGTTTACTGGAGACGTGCTCACCAGTTTATTCTAAATATGTTATTCAGGATGAAGAAAAAGCATAAAAATGACTAACAAACGACGTATTTTCTGACATTTTATAGACGACTGACCAAGAAAGTAACATGCAGATGAATCCACGGTGAAAGTATTGTTTATTCTATAAAATTGCCCGTCAGTTTCCCAGATAATGTCTTCAGATGTTTTGTTTTGTCCAAATCTCAAAAACATATTTAACATAAAAAGCACACTGGCCCTTTAAATGTGGCTAAACCAATGATTTAAATCCTGTTGAATAATTAACTCACCCACGCCTCCACATCTTGAGGCGGATCCATCTCGCCGATGACCTTCACCTTCTTCCACAAGATGTTGCTTTTGCCGAAGTTTCTGATTTTCTGGCGAGTCTTCAGAGCGAAGACGAGCATGATGATGAGAGCGACGGCGACCAGGAAGCCGAACACCACCGCGATGGCCTGGAAAAGAAGACCAGGGAGTTAGAAAACGCAACAAATCTTTATTTGTACACGTAAAACGAGGAAGTGAAGACGCGCGTTCACCTCCTGTGGCTCCACGACGCAGTAGTGGTAAAGGTACTGGTTAACGAAGACCCCCGAAGTCTGCGGTTGTTGGTACTGAGCGCACAGACCGGCAATCTGGCTTCCGTACGCCGACCCGGACGACTGCGCCGTGGGGTTCACCGCCACCAAGTACACTATGGCGGCTATTAGCATTAGCAGCGCTAGGATGGCGCAGATGATCACGACCGCCAAGTAGAACCTCCGGCTCTCCGACAGGCTCTGGTGGGACACGACGATGATGAAGATGACCAGGCAGGCAATGAACGTGATGGCCGCTATGGCAATGATGAAGCCTTTGCCCTTTCGGGGGTCGTTGTAGTTCCCTCCGAGCCCGCCGTAGCCGTAGCCGTTTCCGGCTCCGTACGCGCCGCCGCTACCATAGCCACCTCCGTAGCTGCCGCCCCCGAAGCCGCCGCCTCCCCCGAAGCCGCCGCCTCCCCCGAAGCCACCGCCTCCCCCGAAGCCACCGCCCCCGAAGCCACCCATGGCTCCCTGAGAGTCCCAGGCCAGCGTGGAGGCGACGCAGGCGAAGATGGCGACGCACATCACGATGCAGATGATGGACATGATCTTGAGGATGCCCGGCGGAGACACCCAGCGGTAAAAATGCTGGAACTCGTCATCCGGGTAGTAGGAGTAGGCCGGCTGGGGAGCGACATTACTGTAGAGAGAGTCACAGGAAGATACCGGAGTTTCAACATAAGAGCATTAAATCAGCAAGGAATCTTACAAACAAATGAAGACTAATATTAACTGTGGAATTAAAATATAATTCTGTCCACAAGACCTTTTTACTAAATATTTCCGTCCACACTAGAACGTAATAAGAACGAGCATCCTCAGTGAGCTTATTTCTCTTTGGCCGTGTTAACAAATAGTAAACGATAGTAAAGCAACAGCTTTAATACATATTTGACTAAAATTGACTCTTATGTGGACGGACGACAAGGTTAAGTTGCTGCTTAGCATCATTTTACAATATGAGACATGAAAGCCCATGAAAACAGAGAGGAAAATATCCATTTATCTGTATACATGAAGACAGGGCCTTAAACACCGCTAGTATTTTATTTTGAAAACCTTCGGTCTAAAGTTACGACTAAAAATCTAAAAAGTTAAAGACAATCAAGTTGCTCAAATTGGAAATGTGACATTTAGACACCAAGAAGAAATCAGATTAACGACGTAAAGACGTAGATTATCTTTCTCAATCTGTGAAACCACAAAAAGCAAAAAAACTGAAAATGCTGAATTTAAACCAGATAAATGAATGTTGATGGTTTTTAAAGCAATATAATAATTCAGTAACAGTTACATTTAAATCACACTTATATTATATCGTGACCTTTCTTTGCTTCCATACAAGGGTGATTGTTTACATTCAGTCTGTCTTTAACTTGAGCTCTGTGAATATCTGAAGTACATAAAATAAATCATTATATTATATATAATGTTGATTTATTTATATTAATGATAAGAGAGACTCACTATCCAGTATCTGACTCGTAGGGAGGTGGACTCCCATTGGGCCTGGAGGACATGATGGGTCCTCTGGTGCTGCTCCGTGAAGAAAAGAATCTGCAAGAAGATTTCTGTTGTTAAGACCTATTTCATTAAAACATATTTAACATCAAGCAGCAACGAATGAATCTTTAGATTATCGATTATGCTGCTGATTATTTTCTGTTTAATATAAAAAAATACATTTTTAAAGCCCATATCAACACTGCTAAACTTAAAGATGCTCGGTAAGATAAAGCTCACTATGACATAACAACATAGAAATGCAGTATTTCCTCATATTTAAGAGGCAGGGCCAAGGACATTTCTGAGGCATTTTTGCTATAAAATTGACTTAAACGATTATTCCATAATAAAAACAATAGCCGACTATTTGTCTGTCGATCAACAAATCGATTTATCGTTTCAGTTTTGTTTAAAATGATCCCGGAGCCATAATAACATAACGTGTGTCTTAAAACGGCCATTTCCCTCCCGGGTCTGGTGGTGTCAGAGTCTGAAACGTGAACGAGTTATTTTAACTTTAAAACTACAAAACGTCTGTTTAATCCAAATAAAGTGACAGCCAACATATTTATTCATAATAATTCCGCACTTTTAAACAGCATTGTTTTTGACAACACAGATGGTGTTGAGGAGATAATTGATTTAAAATCGTCTCCAACAACACACCTGTCTGTGGTCGCTACAGGTAAGAAGTTATCGAAGATTTTATAAAACCACAAGTGTCTGGTGTTAAACCCACAACCCGAGGACGATAAACTCACCTGTCTCAGCGTGTCTCTGCTCCGCCTCTAATGTTTCAACTGAAACTGCAGCTGCTGATTAAAAAACACTGTCCAGGCCACACCCAGGTGAGCGCCGCTCTCGGCCCCATGTAGCCCCGCCCCCTCTCACAGGTGTCACCTTACCGTCAACGATACCGGAAGTCCTCGTTCAGCCTTCACTGAAATGTCCCGAAACGCCTCAGAGGATGAAAACAACATCGTGTACAGTGTGTGACCTAAGCGAACCATTTTATTTTAAATGACAAAACAATTAATTATATATGGCATCTATGGAAGCCCATTTCTGCAGCAAAATAAAAAAAATATATATATAATAAAATAATTATAATTATTATTATTTTTTGCTGGCGGAAAAAAAAAAAAAAAAAAAAAATTATATTTTTAAAAAACTTTTTTAAAACATTTTTTTCCACCAGCATAAAAATAAAATAAAAAAAATGCACCAACACTTTTGGTGCATCCATCTGTAACCATAACACTGACCAGATGTTTCCAGCTGCTATAGGAAGTCTAAATGATGAGTCATAGAAGCAGCTCTTCATAGGTTACCCTACATGTGACGTATAAATGGATTGTGAGTACATTGAAGACTTCTTTAAACGTGACTTTACAACACATGAAATACTTAAATAGCTTGATGTTTCACATGGATTGTACTGAGCAAACGCACCCTTGAATAGAATTTTAAGCAAGAAGCAGCTTTGGAGTATAAAGAATAAAACCAATGTGGCTGAGGTGAAGACCTTCAATAAACAGCAACTGGAACTCTTTTTTTTTTTTTTTTGCTGGCAGAAAAAAAGTAAAAAAAGTAAAAAATAATTATGGAAATAATTTCCATAATTATATATATTGAATTAAATTAAATTATTTATATATTTAAATTAAGATATATATATATACCTTAATTTAAATACATATATAAAAATATTTAAATTATTATATATATTAAATTTATTATTTTGGTGTTGGCACACAGTCCGTTATTTGTCTATTTAGCCCAACAAAATAAGTGGAAATATATATATATATATATATACGCTTCTTTTTTTTAACTGAAATAATCAATTTAATTTAACAACTAATTTGATGGTGAATAAAAAACTAAAAAGCATTTTTTGCTGATAGGAGATCAAAGGAAAAATATAACGCTTTATATTTCTTTCATTGTTAATTATTAACTAAATACTGTATGTATTGATATACTGTTGGATTTTAAAAGCTTTTACTGCATTTTGTTATTTTCGGGGCTAAAGTCAATAACTCACAGAAGTATCCTTAAATCAAACACTGCTACTGTGTCATCAGATGAATGTTATCTGTAATTCATTACATTACGGGCTGCAACTAACGACTATTCTCTTGATTAAATCCATAGCTGGTTGTGTCCATAAAATGTCAGAAGTAGAAAAGACTGATCTTGTTTTGTTCAAACAAAAGAAAAAACACGGTTTAAACATCATAAAGACGAAGAAAAGCAACAAATCGTATGACGAACAAGTGACTAAATGTAGTTATTTGTGTTTCATCTGCTGATCAAATAAAAAAGAGAAACCACGTCAGTGCAGAAGCAAAACTGTATTCTGGAGACAGAAAGCACCAATAGATCACTTTAAATTATGAAATAATTATGGACATTTACAGCAACACAAGTACTCGATGACACGAGGAAAACAGACTTTATGATGTCACTTCCTGTCAATCATGAGGTCCAATGTTTACGGCGGTATAAAGAAGAACAAACGAGATATAAAGTACAAAATGTTGAAATGGCAGAACAAAGTGTCACAACAGACAACGTTTAACATTCTATAGTAAGACAAGCAGATTTCCAGATTGAGAACAAACAGGTAAAAAAAAATTAAAAAGATAAAGTGTGCAATTAAGAGTTCAGTAAACCAGTTAGATGGAGATTCGTCGGGACAAGCAGTGGTTTTTATATTTGTGAAATTTACGTCGCAGCAAAAGTAAACTGACAGAAATTAAGCAGCGTTTATATTTTACCTTTCTGTTCTTCATCCACCTTCTAGAGATCACATTCACGTCACAAACCAGAGTTATTGGTGAGTTTAAGAGCTGAAACTAGGCTACAATCACAGTATCACACACACACACACACACACACACACACACACACACACACACACAGTTCTTTGCATATTCAGACCATTTACAAAAGGAATAGTGTGACATTTTGGGGGAAAGTTATTTGCATCCAGGTGGAGCGTTAGGTGAGAACGTTAATAGCATTTAAACAGCCAGGCGACAGTTAGCTTAGCATAAAGGCTGGAAACAGCTAGCCAAAACCCGCCAACGAGCACCTTTAAAAGCTCGTTAATTAACGTCTCGTATCACGTTTGTTTAATCTGTACAAAAATTCATATTTGACACAAAACAAATGAATCGCTGAGAGTGTTAGTGTGCTGAGACTGTATTAGTGTGTTGAGAGTGTGTTAAGACTATTAGTGTGTTGAGAGTGTTAGTGTGCTGAGAGAGTGTTAGTGTGCTGAGAGAGTGTTAGTGTGCTGAGAGTGTGTTAGTGTGCTGAGAGAGTGTTAGTGTGCTGAGAGTGTGTTCGTGTGCTGAGAGTGTGTTCGTGTGCTGAGAGTGTGTTCGTGTGCTGAGAGTGTGTTAGTGTGCTGAGAGTGTGTTCGTGTGCTGAGAGTGTTAGTGTGCTGAGAGTGTTAGTGTGCTGAGTGTGTGTTAGTGTCTTAGAGTCAGTTCAGTTCTAACATGTGTCTGTTCAGAATTGTGTGCAGAGTTAAATGTTTAGTGTGAATAATGTGGAGAAAAACGGCAAAAACTGAATATTTTCTGGGATTGTCGCCACAGAAAACCAGTTTATATCACATTAAATATATTAATATTGTAATACGTTGTGTTACCTCCTTCAGCGACAGATTCTTACAAATTGAAATCTTAAAAATCACCACTTTAAAAAAGGCTAATTGTGATTTTTCTACACTTGATGCGGACAGAACGAGTAAATCTTTGAACTTCAGAGGTGCTTGTTGGCTGACTTGAACAGAGCAAGGCTAGCTGTTTCCCTTCGCTTCCAGTGTTTGTGCTAAGCTAAGCTAACTGGCCAGTGGATGAAGCTGTATAGTCATGAGAGTGATGTTGATTCTCTCATCTAACGGTACAGATGTTAAAAGACTTCCTGTTTAAATGGCCCTTCCTGCCCCCCGCTGCCGCTCAGCTGTGGTCCTGTGTTCGTGTTCGGAGGTTCAGCTGAAGCCGTCGTTCCACTCCATCACTTTGTCGTACTCTTGGATCTTCTGTTTGATGTGCGACAGTTTGCTCTTCAGGTACTCGCAGCGCTCCTTCTTCTCCAGGAAAGTCGGGTCCTGGTTTGAGGACGCAGAGACACACAAAAATATGTTTTTAGGATTTTCACTTTTTGGATTATTTACTGTTCAGGAGCAGCTTAGAGCAGAGACACAGACAGGAAGTCAGACAGCATTGAGAGACAGACGAACACGTCTCCAGCTAACCGGACACACACGTCTCTCACACTCACACAGACTTTAGAGACTTGGTCTTTTCATGGGATTTGTTTACAATAACAAAAATATGGAATGACGGCCAGACTTATCCTTCAATCTGAGACTGTTTATACTGAAGTGTTTGAGGTATTCAGGTTTGAATGTTTGTTAAGCAGTGAGTAACTGATGTTTAAATGCTCATTTTGGGCGCAAAGTTTTCCGTCAAACTGCGTGAAAAACATCTTTCCTGAGAGACACAAAGCCTCGATGTGAACGTTAGAAGAGAAAACACTGAGGGGAGATATATACCGTATATATATATATATATATATATATATATATATATATAAACACGAGCAGCTGATATTCAGTGTAAACAACACGGACGAGACAGTCAGCTCACGTTTTTCTTCCTCTGGTAGTCCTGAAGGATTCTGTTGATGCGATCAACCTCCTGCAAGCAGACAGAGAGACAAAGAGTCTGAATTAAACTTTAAGTTGTTTCCATTAAAGAAGAGAAATGCAGGACGACGAGGGAAGGAATGTGAGGGTGGAGGAGGAAGTACAGTGGGAACAGGAAGTGCAAACAGAGGAAGTAACGAGGGACATTTTAACAACACAAAGACTGGGTGCAATAATCCAAACACACCTCGCCTCATGAACTGGACCTCATATTGAACGAGTGATGACCTTTGTAATAAAACATGCAAAGTGCAGTCCAGTGTGCTGTGACGGTGAGTGTTTTACATAATGTATGCTGAGTACTCAGATATTAAAGGGTAGCCCTGTAATTAATAAACACACACACAACAGCATCTCATCCTCTACTTTGAGGAGAATATAAATCCATAGCTAGATCCTACAATTCCCATAATGCAACACAGCATCAATAAACCCTCTGTGCCTGGTGAACACGTCCTCTGTTTAACTCCTGACCTGCTGTGTAAGACCGGTGAGTGAACTATATGTAAATATGACAACAGACGGCTAGAAACCCGACTTGATAGAAGTAAGGATGCAGATATCTGTAAGCAGTCACCATCCGGCTGGTCGGATGCTGAGGCAGACTGCGCATCATGGCGTCCATCTCATCGAACTTCTTGAGCATCGCCTGCATCTCTGCGTGGAGCTCCTTGTACTCTGCGTACTGGTCGTTGAACACGGCTCGGTACTGGTCCCGCTCCTCGTCGGACCGGACGGTCGGGTACTTCCTGCAGGAGGGAGGCGGAGAGGAACCCGTCAGTCACCCGGAGACTAAACTCACGACACGATCTCACCAGAGCAGAGCCAGACCTGGACTACATTATGATGTCACGGGACAGTTTGTGTGAAATCATCTTTAGTCTTCTGTCATATTAAACTGAATCTCTTCGGGTTTTTGATGGTTTATTGGACAAAAACATTTGCATATTTCTACTCTGGAAATCTGGAATAATTTGGTATTTTAAAATCAAACGATTAATTCAGAAAACAATCGCTGGATTCATCTGTAATTAAATACGACTGTATATTTCATCTACTTCACTATACAGGAGGGACGCCCCTCCGAAACCCACTGCAGGTAACGTTAGTGATGTCATACGTTAGTGGTGTCATACGTTAGTGACGTCATACAGAGTTTGATCAGAAGAACAAGATAACCAATGAAAGATAATCACTTAGATAATCGTTGAGCTGAGAATGTATTTTAAAGATTTGAACTTCTTGTGTTGCTGCTCAAGAAAGACTTTTTGTTTACATACAAGAATAATAAAGATTCTGTTCTTAATTAATTGTCTTTTTTCTCACAAAAGAGTCAAAAAGAACCGATGAGAGTGTCGATAAGAGTACTAGTGTGGATAGTAACGGCAGCGATGCCTGCACAGTGTGATGTATGTGTGAGCAGCTCTTACCCGATGTAGTCGGGAACAATAACGGGTTTTGGAATGTGTCCTGATGGTATCGCTCCCTGTAGAATGTGAGCTGGAGCAGCTTTTGGAGCGGCTTTGATGGGAACCACTGAGGAGCCTTCGACCTGCACTGGAGCTCTGTGTAGTGGAGCGGAAACCGGAGGCATCTGCAGGAAATCACAAAGACAAAATGAATACCGAATAGAATAGAAAGAGGGGCGACTTTCACGCTTTCATCAACACAAATGTGTTCATGTTGCAGCAGATGCTCACCAATGACTGTGCAGCTCGCGTGTCGGAGGGATACATCTGTGTACACAAAACATATAATCCATCAACACGAACAATGAGGAGTAACTATTAAAGGAATCGTTGTGACAGAATGTCAGAGCGTTAGAGGAGAAGATCGATGCCACTCTCATGTCTGTCCGCTAAATATGAAGCTGCAGCCGGGAGACGGTTAGCTTAGCTTAGCATTAAGACTGGAAACAGGGGGAAACAGCTAGCCTGGCTCTGTCCAAAAATCCACCAATCAGCACCTTTAAAGCTCACTAAACTAGTCCACAACATGTCGTCTTTACACTTTCTTGAGAAACAAACTAGAGAGATTCTGTGCGCTTTAGAAGTGCTGCTAGACGGATCTGTCTTTGTTTGCTAAAGTATTAAGCTACCTAACAGTATTAGCATCTTACCTTGGATAAAAAACAAAGTGTGTTAATCTTCATTGGATTGAGCTGTAACTGAGGTCTTCCACATTGTTTCATACATATTTGTTACCTTTGGATGGAGCCAGGCTAGCTGTTTCCCCCTGTTTCCAGTCTTTATGCTAAGCTAAGCTAACCGTCTCCTGGTTTTAGCTTCCTATTTATCCCACAAAAAAGAGTGGTATCAATCTTCTCCTCTAACTCTGAGCAAGAATGCAACTCATATGTCCTAAAAGGTTGGACGACTCCTTTAAGAGACCAAAACAGAAACAAACAAGACATCAGAACATGAGTTTCACACGTTGTGATTCTCAATAACGAGCATAGCTGTAAGCAATGTGCACGTTCTGCCCTCCAGCAGCACACAGGCAGCACTCCACCGTCTCATTCCTCGAAGGCTGTAAGCCTGTTTGCAAATTCTGTGGTTTGCTGTTGCATTGCAGTCCGTGTGTGTCATCAAAGTGACAGATATCTTTGGAATAATCCTTTAAAGAATCCCAACCCTTAGAACAAACCAAAGAGCTCTGACCTCGTGGCCGTGCTTCTCCCGGTATCTGCGTGCAGCTTCGTGTCTCCACAGCTTGAGACAGACGGCGGCTCCGATCAGATACACGACCAAATTGACGAACAGGAAGATGATGGCGGCGATCTGGCCGGCCTCCGTCCTGCAGAACGCCCCGTTGATGCCGTTGTTGAAGACCGGGTAGGAGCAGAGGCCTCCGCGGGTCGTGTCTCGGACGTAGACGATGCCTGGCCAACAAACAGGAAAACAATATTTAGCGGGAAAAATATACTTTGAAACCAGATGAAGTGAAGGATACTCGAGGTGACGGCAACGACGCTTGTTACTGTACGTGCAATAAAATATTTGCGGGTAAAAAGACAATTCATCTGTGAACATGTAAACAAAAGTGAAACCCAATCCAGTCGGCCACCGCCGCCATCGCTGACTGAGACAAAGCAGGAGGAATGACTTCCTGATTCCTTATAAACTTCACTTTAATCTAAATTAGATCTCGCAAACATCAACTGTTAACAGCGAGAGTTTAATAAGTAAAATGAAACGCATAAATAAAAGCAGAACAAATACAAGGACAAACCTACCGGCTGCCATGAAGAGCACCGCCAGCGCCAGGTTTATGGTGAACTCTGTCAGAGGCCACCAGGACGAGTCCAGCAGGATGGTGCGGTAGTACATGGTCATCCCCAGCACCAACACTATCACCGTCACCAACCAGGCCAGCCCCGCCACCACCAACACAAACGGCGTCTTGGGCCCCGAGTAGTAGGACCCGCCTGTGACGCCGCCGTACCCTCCTCCGGAGTACCCTCCTCCGGGAGACGAGTACCCGAACATGTTGAACCACTCGTTGTCTTTGTGGATGTAAGCGCAGACGCAGGCGAACACGGCAGCTCCCAGCAGGAGCTCCACGCATCCCAGAATCCTCAGCAGCCCCGCCCAGGACTTCATGTAGGCGTAGCGCTGATTGTACTCCTCCACCCGCTCGCTGTAGGTCAGACCCGTGTGGTGGGTGCGCCCCGACACGGACTCGTGGCCGTCCCGTAGCTCCAGGAGCTCCTTGCGCGAGTTGTAGCTGCCGCCCGAGCCGCCATACGGATCTCGGTACGATCCGGGAACGGAGGGGGAGTGCGGCGGAGAGCAGCGCACCCCGTCGCTGGTACTGTTGTTGTTGTTGTTACATGAGGAGGCGGGCATGGAACTATTCGGGTTACTGCTGCGGTTGCTTGCTCTGAACAAGTCCTTCCAGGAGTCCGGGATGAAGCGGTGGACCGGTTTGATGTCGAGGGCCGGGTCGTGGTCCAGGTTCACCTCGTCCTCGCTGCCACCGGGATCGAACTCGGGTCCCACGGGAGGCTGGTCCGGCAGGGGCGGTGGAGGGAGCGGGTCGGCGCTCTGGGCGAGGGGGGACGCTCTCTGCTCGCTCAGCAGATCGTAGGAGTCCGTTCGGGGCAACGAGCCGGGCGGCACCTGGTCGTAGTAAGGCGACTGGCGGACGCGCTCAGAGCGTCCGTAAAAGCCTCCTCCATTGGACATGAGGATGGTGATGGTCCCTGAGAGCACACACACACACATTCATTGAGTCTTGTTTAAACGTCTTTCAAGTAATTATTTTTCTTTCAGCTCAAAACAGTTAGCTGCTCGACAACTATTTTGATAATTTATTAACTATTTAACAAATTTTTTAAAGCAGAAGCGACAAACATTTGCTGCTTCCAGCGACTCAAATATGAGGATTTGCTGCTTTTAAAATTGTAAAATAAACAATTTTAAGTTTTGGACAAAAATGGACATTTAAGTATATCATCTTGTGCATTTTTCTGATGTTTAATAAACCAAACAAATAACAGATTAAAACGTAGGTGACATCTCATAGATCTTTATAAGAAGTGGATGTAGTCATCGTGACGTCACTCATTGGTTTGTGGATGTTTTGAAGCCTCGAGTTCAGCAATTTGGCCGTCGCCATCTTGGCTTTTTCGCAACCAGTGAACAGAAGTGACCATATCTGGACTGAGGAGGAGTGAC